GCACTCAAACACATAATATCAAAAGCAATTTTATGTAAACTATTCTTCTTCGTTGTGATGTGTGGTACAACATATGTAAAAATTTTGCTTTTGAGGTGCATTATAAGAAGGCCAAAGACCAGATTGGAGTGTTCATATATGCAGTAGATATATGTACAATGCAGACTAATAAGCATCATCAGAAGAATTAGTAATTTCATATATTAGGACATGTGTTCTTTCTTAAATCAGCATGTTAAAATAGATTGTGTTTACTTTATGAAGAAATGTCCAACTTTCTGACATTTAATACAGTAAGACGGAAAAGTGAAATATAATTATTGCTTGTTATCCCTCCACAGATTTTTGCTGTCTCCGTAATATCCAGAGACAAATGTTTAAAACTCATTGCCGGTTGTCATGGAGAAAGTGAAGACATTATTGTCAACCGTTAACTAAAGATTTTTGTGGAATGTTTGTACAGAGAGAAGCCTATGGAGGGTGCTTGGCTTTTATTGCCTATGCACAATTTATAAAATGTATGTGTCAAGGGGAAAAAAACATATCTAGTATCTCTCAGCAATATGTACACATTTCACTATGCATTGCCACTAAAAACGCTATATACAGTGTGTTTATATGTATGTGTGTGTATATGTATGTACGGTATATATATATATCTATAAATATATATATATCTATAGATATATATTGTTTTATATATACACAAACATACTGTATATATATGTATATATATAGATATAGATAGATAGATATATCTATCTATATCTATACATAAATATGTATATATCATCTGGGAAGATTTTTGTTGAAATGACAGGTCTTGCCTCATGGTCTCTTTAAAGGGAGAGGTTGCCATTGCTGACCTTTCCTTCTATAAATACTTGTTCTGTGACTGTGATGTAAATCCAAAGCCTTGAGTATTTTCTAGGTCTTTGATTCAGAACACGTATGCTGACTAGGCACCTTTACTTTGCTGTGATTTCCAGATCTCAATGTAGTGAGGCCACAGACAGCCAGGCAACTCACATCTTCAAAAAGAGATCAGAAATGGCGGCTTCTATATTCATCCCATATTAGGTTTCCTTTAAGACGCTCACAGACATAACAAGTGAGCACCAAATACAGCGATTGCAGACAGATACGAGTGAGTTTAAATATACAAATATTAATGTCAGCAATTTTATAGAAAGTCATTTCTGTTTTTGTGCAAAGTAAAGTTCAGAAACTTTACTGTGAATTGTGTAATGACTGCTGTGTACAGCTAAATGTTAAATATTGTATGTTATGGGCTACAGCACATCATCACAGACAGCTCAAACTGATGGATCTATTCATCTTAGGGGTGCCATAGATGTCACAATCTGATTTGTACAATATCTATACAATTTTTACTTCAGATTTTCCAAAAATATGAGGACAAACCCAAACAATCCATTTAACTGGTATCCAGTTGCACATGACTTGTATACATAGTAGTTGGTAGATCTAAAAGGAGATTGTACAATCATATCGTATAGTACAGTCAGCTATAGACCTTGCACACTATTAATCAAAGTGGCTTGAATTGTCAATGCATATGGGTTCAGGATATCTGTGTCTATGTAATAATAGGAGGTATGACAGACCTGGCATCATCAGCAGTGTGCTGGGCTGTCCTCTGCTCTCCTGCCTGCTGGGATTCCATCGTGATCCTGGCTGAGTACGTTCCTTCTCCTCCAATGCTCTCTGTGTGTACAGTCCCGGCTCCTGTCATTTTATCCTGACGCCTGCCCGGGAGAGGCCCCGCCCCTTAGTGCATGGGAGACCCCGCCCCCTGGTGCAGAGTAGACACAGAGGTGTCAGTGTGGCTGAGTGTACACATGGCCGGGTGTGAATGTCCACACTGGGGGGATCAGGACACGTGCTGGGGCAGATGGCTAGGAGAGAGCTGAACTACATGTGACACTGATGAGCCCACTCTATGGACTGACACTCATTATTGTTAATACATCTCCTCAATATACATTCATTATCTGCACTTCTATAATGTTTGTGTCATGTATATGTATTATTTATTTGTATACAATGTTTACATGTAATAAGCAGAAAATTATCAATTTGTTCATCGCTAAATTATGTTATTTTACATTTTGGACATCAGACGGTTTGTCACACTTATAACACAAATTAGGTGCCTGATCCAGCCATCAAACCATAATGATAATAATAATAGCAATAATCATAATACAATAATAATATTGATATTATTATTAATAATTATAATAATAACAACAACAACAATATTATTATTTGAAATAATAAGAATACATGATTTTAATGTATATTCATATTTCTCTGGCTCCTTTCTCCCCAGGGACTCAAAGCTCTTATCAAATTGGTGTTGGGATCTTTGAAGAGAATGATTTGTCAGATGTTGCTGGGTGAATATTCACAGACATTAAAGGAAGCATTTACATTTCCCTATGCGTCATGGGAACATCCAGGTTGTAGTAATGTTATGTTTTCAGGTATTTGCATAGCGCTAACAAACAGCTTTTACATGATGCACATTCACATCAGTCCCTTTTCTCAAAGAGCTTACTAAGGACCCTATTTTACATGCATACAGGGCTGATTGAGGCCCCGTTTACACTGCACCTAACATGAGCGCATGTTCGTGCGTGTACATGTGCATTTTTCCCGTGTTTGCTGCGTGTGCACCAATTCAATCAATAAAAGTAGCCCAAGCAGCATTTTCAGCTGCAAACGCGCCACCTTTTTTTTCTACGTGATTGTGCACATTTGCCATACATCTATACATGGAAAAAACTTGCATTTTCCTAGCTGCGTTTTGGGTGCCATTAACCTGTAATGGTACTGCAAATGTTTAAAGCATTGTGTGAATGCACTCCAAAGTGTGAACGGGGACTTAGACAGGAGACAGTTAACCTACCAGAATGTGTTTGGATTATGGAGGAAACCCACACAAGCCTAGAGAGAACATGCAAACTCCATACAGATAGTGTCTTGGTGGTTGCAGACCAGGGACCCCAAGTGCTGCAAGGCAGGATTGCCAACCAATAGGGCCCTGTGCTGCCATAGTTATAATATCCCAATGTTGCATTAGCTGACGCCACTTATTTTATAAGAAGTTTACGTTAATAAATGGAGTAACCCTTTAAAGGAGAACTATGGGGTTAAGGCTTTTCCCCATAGCTCTCCTTAGGGTAATGGGAGGACACAAACTAGCGTCTTCCCGTCACCCTAGGCTGTAGCTCGCGGTATACTGAGACGCAGCAGTATACCACGAGCTGCTGCTCGTGGTATACTAAGACGCCGCAGCTGAGGCGGATCCCGACAATTATGTCTGGATCCGCCCAGCTGCGTGACTGACAGCTGGCTCTGCCTATCTAGAGGCAGAGCCAGCTGTACCCACCCCTTCTCTCGTCCGTTCCGCCAGTCAGCGCTGGCGGATCGGAGCGGGGGGAATCCAGCCCCTCCCCCTGTCACGGCAGAGAGCCGTGACAGGATCGAGAGGTGAGCGAACGCCGGTATGTGTTCGCTCACCTCCCGATCTACTGAGCCGACCTGTGACAGTCTCATTGTCACAGGTCGGCTAGAACTATGAGGTGAGTGAAAAGCACTCACCTCATAGTTCTCCTTTAAAGTTACCTTTACCTTTTTGCTTAATGCATTTTATATTGAAATCGATAATAACACATCACAATGCATCTCAGCACATGCGTTAATACATCCGTTATTGCTTGTCATGATACAGGTCTGTTCTTCATGCCGCACATATACGCATCAGCATGGCATGTGGTGATGCATGTTATAATGCATATTGACATTCAACACAAAGTGCATTGCAGTGCACATTGAAAATGCATAACAACGCACATTAACACTAATCATGTGTTTTGAAGAGTCTACATTGATTTAAATAAAAATGCATCAGGGGATAATGCAAAGATGTGAACCCAGATGTCCACATGTGTGTGTTTACTTTGCTGAAGAACTCCTTGGCAAGTGTACGCTTTTTCTTTGTACCCCTTGACTGTTTAGTCTTCTAAACAATGTTTGTACCCCAAAATCCAAGAATTGAGAATACTAAATATAGGCAATTATAGGTAATGACCAAACCCACCCATATCTGATATTTCTATAGCCAACTAGTCTTTTTCCCTTTAACGCTCACACTTGCATTTTAGTTTAATCATTTTGTCAGATCAGATTTCTGAGGCACAAAGAGAAGGATGAAAGATAATACTCAGCCCATGCAGTATAGAGCTATTGAAATATGGGACCATGTGTGGGCCAGACAATGAACCACCTGATCTGTGAATGGAATGGAAGTGATATATGTGATATTGTACCTTCAGGAATGTCATTTTATTGCTGTGCAGCACTGGGGTCCTCAGTTTAAATCCCAACCTGGACACCAGCATAGAGATTGCATATTCTCCCTGTGTTTGTGTGGGTTTCCTCTGAGTGTTTCGGTTTCCTCCCACACTTTAAAATCATACTGGTAGGTTAATTGGCTCCTGTCTGAATTTGCCCTAATGTGTAT